GAAGGAAAGTAGCTCCTCAAATATGTCTCCTGTGAACTTTTACATGCTGCATTAAAACAAAACTGTCCCAGGACAATCACATTAACTTATTTAAATATTTTCTCAAAATTTGTTGGCCAAGAGGGCAGAATATAATGAATTTAATTTTTTCAACTTTGCGTCTCTAATTTGGATAAAGGTAGATCTTCCTGCGTTAGGCTGCTATATGATATTAATTGCTGTGCTGTGCTACCTCTACAAAATAATTATTTGTATTTCTGGCTAGGGGCTCGTGGTGCACGATAATGAGACAGCTGGAGTAAATGACTGATAATCAATTTTCCTGACTTTTCTTGAGCATTAAAATCTCTTTTGGTGTTTTTATTTTACAGAACACAGTAATATACTAACTGAGAATAATAAAAAGTGCACTTTAAATGTTAGGCAGTGAAAACCAGGATTACATTACCACACTATTAAGTTTCCACATGTGATTATTTTGTCTTTCAAAGTACTATACATTAGCTAAATGGACTTTTAAGACCTTAGAGTAGGACTTATTTATTTTGATTGGTTTAAAATCAGTTTTGTTTTGCTCTTTAAATGAAGTTCAGTGACTACCAAAAAAAAAAAAAAAAATGAACCTAATTTCTTTATTATGTTCTTCAGCTCTTCAGCCAGAATGATGAACAGTATTTAATTTTGGGAAAGTATTTTTTAAAAGCCAATATATCAAATTACTGACTTCTCTCTCACTATAACTTATATTTCAACATTAAAACATACACTGAATCTCAAATAACCTTGAATTACACATGAAAGATGAAAAAAGTAAATTTTTTTCTTCTAATATATTAATCTTAATTCTCAACATAGTATTCCAGTGTTTGGAAAATACTTGTAAAGGAATGTGAATTATAACAGTTCACATCTCTTCATTTTCTATATAATTGCATTCCTTACACAAAAATGTATAAATATCCCCACCAAAGCATAAACCTCTTTAACTACAAAACAAGGCAATGGCCATTGTACTTTAAAAGTGCTCCATGCACTTGCTCATTCTGTGTTCTTTACTGGGCTACCTTAACCCAGGGGTAACAACCCCCTGGTTACAGCAGGTGCCTGTCTATGGCTTTTTAGGAACTAGGCCACCACAGCAGGATGTGAGCAGTGGGCAAGTAAGCGAAGCTTCATCTATATTTGCAGCCATTCCCCAGCACTAGCATCACTGCCTCAGCTCCATCTCAGATCATCAGGCATTAGATTCTCATAGAACTGGTCCCTGGTGCCAAAAAAAGTTGGGGACTGCTGCCTTACCCTATGGTTCCCTCCCACATGTGTTTCTACTGAGAATAATCTGAGGATCTTAAAAACATTCCCAAGCCCAGGCCACATCCCAGACCAATTAAATTTCATACCTGGGACACAGGCACCAAGTTTTTGAAAGTCCCAGGTAATTTCAATGTACTGACATGTTTGAGAATCACCACCTCAACCAACTTGTTCCCAGGCAAACTTTTCATCTTTTCCATCTCAGTTGACAGAGGATGTCCGATGCCCTCCTTAAGGGTCCTAAGCCTTCCCACAATTTCTCCTGCATATCTCTACCACACCAAGCATTAAAGTATATTCTGTTTACTCCTACTCCTGGTCCCTCAAACTACTATAACATTTAAGAATATTTTAACCTTTGAATTCCAGAGTCTAAAACCTATGCCTGGTATATGGGAGTACTCAATAAATTCATGGAATGAATAAATTCTTCCTAAGAAAACCAAAAGCAAAAATATAGTTATGATAATATTAATACGCCATGGAAAAAGTAATAGTTTAAGATGTGATTAAGATGATGTTTCAATGATGGGCATTGTTTCATATTTAGGAAAACATCTCATACCAATGAAAATAAAACTACATCTGAACATCAAAAAGGATCATAAAATATAACTTTGACTACCTACAAAAATTACATTCTTTATTGCAATAAGCACAAAAAAACATTTCCTGTGATAAATATCTAAAGCAACTCATTCCTTTCTCAGCTCCACTTTCATCTTAAGTGCTTTAAAGCAATGTTTACTAACTATTAATAATCTATATTTAGTGTAGTATTCAGACAATGCTACAATTGCATAGTGTCTTTTTTCAGGTCCTCTGTTTCCTTGTCTCCAAAATATTCACACACAGTCTAATTCTTGACAATGAACCCAATCTTAAACACATGTTTAAAAAAGGTGTTTAAAATATTTTGCTCCTTGGGTTTACTATTTTATATTGCAGCAATGTTTCACAATTTAACAATATGTTGTTCGTTCTCTGCTAGCTTTTCATGCACAAACCTGAAAAGAAATCAGATCTAGTGATTGGTTTCCAAAATAATGATTACTCATTTTTCTCATTACTGTTTACATATGAAATGCTGGATTATCTCATTAGGAATCAAGTTAATTTAAGACCTTACCAACTAGTGTTCAATATGCACTCATTTTGAATGTGTATAGAAGATAAAAATGAGAAAAAGCGGTTTTCCACTTTTAAATGCCTATATTGTAATAACTACTGTTAACCAATTTTTAATTTATTAAATTTAATATAACTAATTTAAAAGGCAGTCCTTGAAACATAGTTTTTGTCCCCCTTTTCATAATAGAGTCATGACTAAATCATAAGTGCAATGTCCTTAGAAATCATTCTACTTTATCAGAAATAAGCTCTGAATGTATTAACAACTGTGAAAAGACAAAAGATCACCTATCATAATACTCAGTCCTAATGTCATGGTTCCCAAAATTTAAAAGCTGTGAATGAGACAATTATTTCAAGTGTTTCAGCTGTAATTAACAGAAAACTGAATTTCTTTTGTCAAGAAAGCAAGGTACACAGACTGGCACACTTTAAACCAGCATCAGCTAGCTTTACATACTTATGTTTGGATCAAAAGAACAGGGCAATTTTAAAGTTGGCTTTCTGTCAGCATAAATCTGATTTAGGGTAGACCCTTCTCAGGTCCTTCTCTGCCTCCTGTCTGCTCACCCAATTGTCATACCCAGAATAAACACCCCATCACTTCTTTAGTGAGGGGCCCTGTGGGGTGTTACTGTCCCCCTGAACAGGGGTCACTGAGTCAGCAATCAGCCTAAGACCTAGGAGGGCAGAGCCCGGAAGGTTAGAGCGGGCCTGGGGACCAGGTAGAGGCTGGGTCTCTCTCCCGTCGTCTCCAGTCCTCAGCATCTTGTCCCAATAGGTACAGGCTGACGGGACAGGGGTGGAGGGGAACATAGTTTGCCCCTTCCCAAGATCCAACGGCTAAAAGTGGCAAAGAAATCTCCATTTCCTGACTCAATTCTCAGTGCCATAAAAACATCTTCCAGGGGACCTTTGCATCGCCCGCCGCCTTCTCCAGACACCATCTGGAGCGGGCAAATATAATTTGTGAGGGGCACAGGCACTAAAATTGCATCAGTCAGAGGCCATGTCTACCTGAAGAACTGAAGAGGCAGAGCTAGCGGGGGAGGCTTGGCTTCCTCGGCTGCGCCTCTTCCATCTAGTATAAAACTCTGCAGGGCGCTGCGTCCCGAGTGGTGGGGTGGGCAGGTGGGTGTGGGACAGGAGTACAGGCGGGAAACTAGGAATCACGAAGCCTCCTCCGCTGGGACCGCCTCCTCTCTGAGTGGTCTCCCTTCCATCCTTCCGAATTAGTAAGACGATGCTCAGGCCAAACAGCCGCCCCCGGCCAGCCCGGCTGGGCTCGGAAGGGAACGTTCCCCCGGAGCCCGGGCCGGGAGTCGGGAGGGGCCACTGGGCCAGAAGCGGGGGAGCTGACAAGTGTCCTCTCGCGCCTCCGTCTCCTTCGCTCGAAGAAAAGCCTGGATCGCAGTGGTCCACACACAGCGTCTTTCTGTGGCTCGCCCCGCTCTCCTGGACCCCGCAGGGGTGGCACCTCCGCTTTCTCTCGCCCCGGATTCGCGGCACCCCTCCGCGGGACGCTTGGTTGGGTCCGGGG